TGTCCATTGTCTTACTGTCAATGTGATATTGACTATTTTGGTAATAAATGTTCCTGATTCCTGATACTGTCAGGAGAGCTTCGAAGGGAATCCTGGAAAAGGTCTGTGTTCCTTTTCAAGCGTTTGAGAGTTTCCATAAAGTGCAAATTGTTTCCTTTTAAAAGACGAGTGTGGGACCTTAATGATGGACCTTGTAGATGTGAACCCATCGAATGATTGGTGGGGGTCGGGTAACATAAAAAGGCAGTATGGAGACATAACATGTGAAGAGGACCAGCTGCGTGTGTGGAAATAAAGGTGATTAGATCACCATAAATCCTACACATTGCTCCTTTAGTTAGCAGTTAGCAGTTCAGGAGGTACTTCTTGGTACTAGTTGAAAAACACAGAAGAAACAGCATTTTTTGAAGCATTTAGTTCTGGTTCCCGCTCCTTCGGATGGTGTCACTGATGTTTCTTGCAAAAGCGAAAGCAAAAGCGTAATCTTGAGCATTCGTTGGCACACGCAGCAGCTCATTCCAGGCAGCATGGCAGACATCATTGGGTTATATAGGACACACTGATGATGTCATTTACTTCCTAATCATAAACTAAAGCAGAACCTACTGCTCAGCGAGGAGGCCTACAGGAAAAACAACAATCGCTTCAAGCCTTCAAAGTAGTTTAGACATCACACACAAATGGAAACAAACGGTAACTTGTTGACTGCTGGAGTCCTTTAAAGGTTGACTAGGTGCCCTCGCCAGATTCCACTGTGATCTGTTGATCAGCGCATCGATGGGCCCAATGACATTGTTCTGGTATGTGGTCCGGTCTGAGGTGCCCACCTCTCACATGATGGATGTGATGCATTATGATCTTATTGCAGAATCGATCCATACCGGTTATTTATGACAAGCCTCCCAGCTAAATCGACTCCAATGCAACGTTTTAATTGATTTTTCACATATTACTTCTACAACTAGATACAGACAAATATCTCATATAGATTCAGGGTTCAGTTCAAGGAGTATTGAAAAAACCATCTACACACTGTGAGTCCTTCTAAAGGAAAAAGTCACTAGTACGTGAACAGTTGAAGTTTCCACTCACAGGTTAAGAGAAGTGAGCGGCCGTAGTATCGCATTGAACCCCCCCCCCTTTGTTCATGTAGCGCAGCCCCCTTAAAGCAACGCTTGCACGAAACAAAGCAAATTACAGTTAAACATGTCTCCAATTTCCACTCGCTGGGCCACATGAAACAACGTGAGGACCAAATGATGTTTGGTTTGAGGTTTTACATTTCGCTTTAGCCTCAGGCCTGGAAGCCATTAAGGCCTAATCTGAATCCTGGTCAGTGCTCGTTCCCTGGAGCGGAAAGCATGCTTTTATTAGCATCAAATCATACACAGCATTGAGAACACGCACACACACACACACACACACACACACACACACGCACACACACACACGCACACACGCGCGCTGGCCCACGACCAATAATGGCCAAACAGCATCTCATTACTGGCCATTAGATTTGTGTTACTTCCATTTGTACTGGCGATACGTCTCATATTCGTAAACGGCACAAAGTCCCCACATGACGTGGTGACACAGCTGCATGATGGGAGCTGAGAGACGTGGTTGGCAACAAGAAGTGGTTCATGACAGGGGGGAGGGTCTGATGTTACTGACTAAATGTAACTCCCATTAATGTTTGACTACCGTAGTGATTAATCAAGCACATTTATTTTGAGTGGAATTTGTGTTGTTTTCTTTTGGAAAAAATAGGGTTAAAAAGAGTAAAACCATCTTTTAGGCACAACGTCCAAACTGAGTGTCCCACACTGATGGACGTGGCACATTGTTCGGCTCATTGTCAGCCGTCCACCATATGGACACTGGCCGGTGAAGGTCAACGGTCGCTGTGACCCAACCCGTGGCCCCTGTAATTAGGACAATCATGCCTTGATGATGGCATGAGGGCGAGTTACACTAAATGGTGTCGCGCCACCACTGAAATTGGTGTCATGGAGCCGGGCGACGAGAAAGGGGGGAGCGCCTCACGGAGCCGTTACCCCGGAGGGGGGTCGGTGGCTGGGAGAGAGGACAGAGAGAGAGACGTCAGGGAGAAAGGGAGGGAGTTGTGACAGTATCCATGAGTGGTTGTCCCTGCAGGACGGGGACAACCAAGGGAAGAGTCTCTTTCACTGAGGAACCGGAGGAACTGTTCAGCAAAACACTTTTTTGCTAAACAGCAGTAATCTTCAAACAAACAACAGAAACACACATGTCATTGTAACTGGGGGGCGCCCCCCCCGGACAGAAGCACACAACAATGAACCTGTATTAATAATTAGAATGAAAGAAATATGAATCATGTATCATCACATACTACAGTTTATTTAAGCCTGCATCCTTGGAAAAAACAAAAAAAATGGAAACTTTTAAATGTTTTAAGTTAATTTAACACGCAACATTTTCAATTTAGGTAATACGCCACGCACCCTGTTTGGGACACAGGCCTCGTGTTGTGAACCCTGATGACATCAGTCTTGTTCAGAGCCACAGAAGATGTCACGTGTGGATCGGGCACCGCTGAGTGTTTGCCACTTAGATAGAAGCTGGGATATTAGCAGGTATTCAGACACCATCGGCTCTGTGGTGCAATAATTAGGCCACATTCATTGTGAGGGTTGTTCCACTGATCTTCAGACAAACATCATCTTCAATCCAAAGCAGACCTACTTTCCTCACCGTTTTCTGCCTGGTGTTTTTATTTTTCTTCCCTTTAAGGCGGAATCCTTGAGTCTGAGATGAGGCCCTGAGGGTTCCTGGAGATCGATCGGCTCACTGCAGGTGCACGGCGAACAGGAGCAACAAGAGAGGGGCATTTTCCCCTCTCCTTTCATCGGAATAAAACACGCTTGATTGGGAGCCAATGAGTGGAGAGAAATGCGCCGGTTGGTGTCCAACGCCGGTTCCAGCGCGGCATTTCACTTCAGCCCCGCGTTAAGTAGCCGGGCGCGGTATTGACCGCGTTGTGCGGCAAAGCGCAGATCAAGCTGGGTTACAACGGGGACGACTCAATCTCCGAAAAGCAAACTGCTATCGATTTGTGTGAGTAAGTAGCAAACAAGAGGCTGCTTGGAGGGCCCAAACAGAACCCGCCCACGCCTCGCTTCCATTCTGCTGCACATCGCCGGGGGGGGGAGGTATCGCCGGGGAGGGAGGCATCGCCGGGGGGGGGAGGTATCGCCGGGGGGGGGAGGTATCGCCGGGGGGGGGGGAGGTATCGCCGGGGAGGGAGGCATCGCCGGGGGGGGAGGTATCGCCGGGGGGGGAGGCATCACCGGGGGGGGAGGTATCGGCACCTCGCTGCCTGTCTGATACAAAGCAGGTTATTGAAAACATTAAGACAAAATATCTGAATCCCCCCAAATGTCCCCCTCTGTAGACTGATGTCCTCTGAAAGAAGTATTTAGACCATCTGAAGGCGTTGTAACCTGATAATGAGATTGTTTCATTGATCCGCTCGGTGACGGAGGGCAACGCGCCGCTTCAACGGCCAGGAGCTCTCAGCAGTAGTGAGGTCTTTAAATGAAAATTGTGTTTGGAATATTACTGAATAATGAAGAAAATGAATACGTGTCAATGAAAGGACACAGTCTGGCTGTAGACAGTGTTTATTGTGCACAGATAATACAATGACAGTGACTGACAGTTTAGTTGATATTCAAATAGTTATGTTCTTTTGAGGAGTTTATTGGTGTTTGGTTGATTGAATCCTGGGATCATGACAGGAAAACATTCTAATGAGATCATATCAGTACATTTACACCATTTACTGAAAGGAATTTGACGCAACGTACAGTATTTTTGAAGAGCACCTTTAGATGTTTGGGAAAAAGTCTCCCAGCAATATGACTAAAGTATTATAGGTTTCTTTGCACAGCCATCAGATCCTTCGTTCTGCAGAACAACGCGATAGCTTCTACAAGTCTCTGTGTTAAAACCATTCAGGACTCTCTGGTTCTTCTCTTCACGTGAACAGCGACAGGCGTGAAAAGCTTCTTGTGACCCATGCAGCCAATGCAGAACCCATGCAGAACATATATATATATATATATATATGTGTGTATGTATATATATATATATACAGCGGGTGAACAGTATTGAACACGTCACCATTTTTCCCAGTAAATATATTTCCAAAGGAGCTATTGCATGAAATGTTCACCAGATGTTGGTAACAACCCAAGTAATACATACATACAAAGAAACCCAAACAAAGAAGTTCAGAAATAAAGTTATGTGTAATAATGTGAAATGACACAGGGAAAAGGTATTGAACACGCTTACTGCTATTTATTCAATACTTTGTACAAAAGCCTCTGTGGTGATGACAAGACGCCTCCTGGATGGAGAACGTAGTCGCGTGCATTGAATGCATTTCTCTGGTGTGATTCTGGCCTCATTCTTCCACACAAACACTCTTCAAATCTCTTCTATGAATCTTGATCTTCAGAATCATTTCAATTCAATTCATCAGTGAAAAGTCACTTGAATGACTCAACTTTCACACTTTAGAGGTTGACTCTGTAACGGTTTTATGTATTATGTTTATTTGCATACAAGTTAATAAATGTGTTTGCTGTTGTGTTTTTTGTTGACAGTATTGATGGAATCTCCTCTGTCTTGAGATTATTACTTTGAGCTGAAAGTACACGGCCTAACTGATTTCATTTGAATTTAAAATAACTAAAACAAGTTCTTCTCTCAGCCTGAAATATACCAAGATTATCTTCTTTACCTGTACTTTGTACTTTTTTGGCTTTTAAGACTTTTACTGTTAAACGCAGCAGAGGTAAAGGTGATGACGCGAGCAGGAAGTGACCCGTAGGACAGACCGTCCCATTTCAGAGACCAGAGATCAGACTTCCGCCTCTGCTGTTTTCCAATTGGCTGGTGAGTTGTTGAAACTTTTTCTTGCATGCAATTGGCTGAACGGTGTGGCAGGAGGGACAAGTTCCCGGAAGTGATGACGTTAGGTTTCTGTTTCTCTCCGGGCTGTTGTGAAAGTGGAAATAATGCTGCCACTCCAGTTTACGGTCTGTCGGTACGTTTCGACCCAAAGGCTCATCTGACGCCGTAACGGGACTTCAGCTTGATTGTCTTTGGAGGTCGGTGGGTGTGTCTGCTTACAGTTAATGTCTCATGACGTTACAATTCTCTTACTTGATAAGTTAGCTAACATTGCTATGAGGCTAACCTAGCTGTCCAAATGTGTTGCTAACATTAGCTAACGGTGCTAACCATTTGGTGCTAACGCTAGCTAATATTTCCTTTCTTTCAGAAACTTTGTGGTTGTCATGGCGCCGCCACTAAAGAGGGCGTTACCCAAAGCGCTGCCAGCGGGCTTCATACTGACGGACAGCGAGAAGAAGAAGTGGAGGCTCGGCGGAATAATCGGCCACGGTGGCTGCGGGACGATCTACCTCGGTAAGGAAGCCACTGAGTGACACCTGCGCACCCTCCATGTACAGTCACATAGAGGTGGACCAGCAGAACAACCTGTGACGCCCCCTCGATAGTAGTAGTACTAGTATCACTACAATCCTAATGATACCCATTCCTCCCTCTCACCCGTTCCAAATGAGCCTTTAGAAAGGCTGTGATTTGTTCACTTCTTCCTGCTTCTAGGATAACGAGAGTTGAAACCGAACCTTGTGTATCACAACTTTGTCTGATCTTTCCTGACCTTCTCCTGTTGTCTCAAAGCCTCCCGTGATTTGGACAGAGACGTTCCTGCAGACACTGACTTTGTCTTAAAAGTGGTGAGTACATGTGGGCTGCACGCACACGGGTAATGCTTTTTAAAAATATGTAGCGATTGATCCCCTCAAAGTTCAGCGTGCACATGAGCCGCACAGTTTAACGTTATACATCACATGTGAAAGAAAGTTTTACTGACGACCGTTTTCTGCCAATGTTCAGTAAAATATACCATCTGGAAATCTGCGTTCATACTTTCCTCACATCGTAATAAATCCACCGGCAGGAGGCCGAGCTTCTGTTTGGTCACATCGTGATGCGTTGAGGCTCCATTCAGTAAAGACGAGGATTGGCCGAAGTTGAATTAATAAAATGATGATCAAGATGAACTTTGCGCAGCAAAAGGAAATGTAAACTGCTGCGCTGGGCGCTCCTGCCTTTGCACGTGCACTTTTCTTTAGGACACTCTGATCCTTGTTGCCGGAGTGCAATGTTCTCCGTGACTTCCACTTCACCAGCGCCAGTAGCTGATCCCTTCCTGCGTCCTGGTGAACTGTGGCTGAATGAATACATTGAGACGGGAACAGCAGCTTTATTTCAGGGTGCCGACACCCTTCAGGGTCAGACTACCTTTCCAATCATCCATCATACGGTTCCGTTAGTGCCAAGTTAACCGTTGGTGGTTCTCTCAGTACGATACAGGAAACCCAGATTCAACATCAAACTGGATTTTGCTAAAAATGCTGAGACAGGATTTTACAAGTATGAAAAGTTACCGCGTCATTGTGCAGTAACACAAGACAACATATATTGAAAGGCATTCACAGCAGGTGCAACACAGCATATCGTTTTCTACCCAGTCACACCATGTATTATATGTATATTTAGTTAACGCTTCGCTGCGTGAAATAGAATCTGAAAAGAATGAAACGATCATTTACGTGAGGAAATGACGGAACACCCTCGGTTCACACGTCTGGTCAGTAACCACGTACCTGCTGCCTTACACGGCGTCCTGTTCTAACTGACCTCTTCTGCTTTGGGCTCTTCACCTCCCTTCACCGCCCTCCTCCTCTCCTGTTTTTGACATTTTCACCTTTAACCCATGACAACTACACTGCTAATGGCGTGCACTGTAACATTCAGGAGTCCCGGGAGAACGGCCCCCTGTTCTCGGAGCTCAAGTTCTACCAGAGGGCAGCCAAGCCGGGGAACGGTGAGTAGCGGGGTCCCGCCGGCGCGTTTGACTGATGAAGTGGCCGTAGACAGCGAGGCTTCGCCGCCAGCGGCACCGTAATTAATAATAAGCCAAAGCAAACAAGCACCTCAGTGGCAGTTGCCCCCCCACCACCCATCCTCTCTGCCGCTTGTCTGAGCTCTTTGTTTGGAGAGGCGCAAGAGAGCGAGAGCCACTCACGCGTAATGATGCCCGGGCCTCCGCTGAGCCCCTGACCACCTGCCAGGCTGGTTAAGAGCCAGGCCCAGTTGTCTGGGGGCTTCTCTGTGGGTGTTTGCAGTGGTGCGTACGTCATGCTGTAACATTGATACTCGCATGCCGTATGAAACTTAAACAAGGACAAAACTTTTGTTGTAGTTCAGGGGACTTCAGACTCCACTTGGAAAAGGAGAATGTTCGATTAAACTCGTTGTGAAATAACTGGGGCTGCAACAACGAAGCGATAAAATAGTTTAAAATCGATTATTAAAAGCGTTGGCAACGCATGTCATTATTGATTCGTTGTGTCGCGCGATTATTACGTCACTCAATGAGTTGCGGAGATGCGCGTGGAGCAAAAATAAAAATAAAGGCGCCGAGCCGCCGTAGAGGAAAGAGCAGCCGGCAGTTGTTGTGAGTCACATGACGCAGGGAGAGACGTCTGTTCTTCTAGTCGTCTAAGGTGTGCGAGCGTGGGGGTCCCGGTCCACGTTGTCCCGTAACAAGCCTCCTGTTTACTCGTCATCCAGCTGATCAAGCTAGCGTTAGCTCGCTAATAACAGCGGTAAAGCAGTTAGCAAGACTAAGACACGTTTTTATTTACTCGCCTCTTTTGGACCTTTCATTTTTCAATGTGTGGTCTGATATTTTGTGCTTTGTCCCATATCGGTTATTGTTGACAAATATATTTGTGTGTGTTGTACTTTTTAGTGCTGTCATTTACGGTAGTCCAGTGCGCTTGCGCATGTACTGTGGGTTATACGGTAGTTGATGTTATGCCTGTAAAGGGAAACACGGTGATCCATTAAATCAACTAAGAAGCCTCTAATGCATTTATTTACAAATGCCATTTTAAATTCATCTCATAGCACTTGGTTGTTTTGTAGCTGTATGCATTTACTTAACTTGCACTACAATGATGGTAATAATTTAATGAACATGAGGTTGTGTTTGAGTGTAGTATAGAGAACTAGTTCTGACGAATTTGAGGTTCTGTTTTAGAATAAAGGGTTGGAAATTAAAGATTTTTAATGCCGTTTAAAAAAAAATCCAATTCATCGATTAATCGAAGAAATAATCGTCCGATTAATCGATTATCAAAATAATCGTTAGTTGCAGCCCTAGAAATAACGACAAGAGCAGCGCGTGTTCATCACTAAGGCCACTCTCAGTGAGGCCGCTTTGTGTTGGTGAGCTCCTGTCAGTCCGTCTCTTCGGACTCCTCGGGAACGTTAAAAGGAAGTAGAAACACATTGGCATCATTATTTCTCTTCTAATCTTGTTTCAGTGCAAAAATGGAAGCAAAGCAGGAAACTGGACTTCCTGGGGATCCCAACATACTGGGGATCAGGACTCGCTGAACACAATGAACTCAGGTATTAGACATGTCCGACCCCTTTCAGTGTTAAAGCAACCCCAGCGTCCTCTCTGCATTTGGCTTTATGGGTTTGTTTGGGTTAATGTGCTGCATCAGTGCTGAAATGGAGGATGTGGTGGTAACTGGAGCCTTTGGATACACAGGCCAGGCCACGGAAAACGCGCCACACACACGGCTGGTCACCAGCGAGTCGGCCAGCGAGCGGTGAACAGCTGTCCAGGTGGCCGGCCGGCCTTTTCAGGCTGAATGAATGAATGAACGAATGTGTTTACATGGGGAAAAAATAGTGAAACCGCCATAATTGCGATATGAATTTTTCACCCATGTCAGAAAGGAGCTGAGGTTTGTTATTGAGGAAAAAAGAAAGGCATGTGACCTGTCACTCTGCCTCAGGTATCGCTTCATGGTGATGGAGCGACTGGGCACCGACCTTCAGAAAGTCGTTGAATCCAGCGGCGGTCGTCTGGAGGCGGCCAGCGTTCTCCAGCTGGGTCAAGGACTAGTAAGATCATCCTAACCAAACTAGATCTGTGTCTCTTCTAAGTCATTACATTTGCCTCATCAGAATTCTCTCTTCTGTGTTTGTTTCCTACCTGTGCAAGGTGGATGTACTGGAGTACATTCATGAGAACGAGTACGTCCATGCAGACATTAAAGCTGCCAACCTCATGCTGTGTTGTAGAGACACCGAAAAGGTTCGTCCCCTGGAGAGCCGATCTTATGTGCATAAAAAGTTCCTCTTCAACCGCAGGAACAAGCAGATTGAGGTCTGGGACCTTTCGGGGGCAAGCGAGCGGTGGTAGTGAGGGCGCTGGGACGGACACCGCTTCAAAGCTGGACAAGCGGTGACTGTGGGGACAGACGCTCTACATTTCATTCTTACACGCAGCGTTCAGCAGTAAAAAGTTAGTCTCCAATGAGAAACGGAGTCCGGCAGCCCTCGCCAGTCTACTGTCATTTGGACCTCTATGGAACGCCAACAATTGGCTGAAGAAACTTTTAGTCCCTTGAAAAGTAGTCGTGGGACTGAAATGATCAGGAACCTGCAGGAGTTGTGAGGTCGTCCCCAGCGCTTCACTTTGTCCACATTTTGTTATTATGTTACAGTCGGATTCCAAACTACACTCAAATATTCCAGAAGCAACACTATATAATGACAAAGTGAAAAGAGCTTAATGAAATTAAAAAATGATGAATGCATCCGATCCGTGCATCCCCAAGAGGAGGTTTCTCCTGAGGGACACGATAACCGCTGTGTGCTTCGGGTCGTTGTCCAGCCTGAGCTGCAGAGTGCTCTGCAGCAGGTTTCCATCCAGGATGTCTCTGTTCATCGTTCCCTCCATCCTGACTAGTGTCCCAGTTCCTCCTGCTGAAGAACATCCCACCACTGTGCTCCACTGTAGGGATGCTATTGGCCAGGTGATGAGCAGGCCTGCTTTCCTCCAGACACCACGCTTGGCATTCAGGCCAAAGACCTCAATCTGAGTTCCATCCGACCAGAGGTCCTTCAGGTGCCTTTTGCAAACTCCAGACGGGCTGTCACGTGCTTTTTACCGAGCAGTGGCTTCCGTCTGGCCGTCTACCACACAGGCCTGGTGTGCGGAGTGCAGCAGAGATGTTTGACCTTCTCGAACGCTGGAGCTCTGTCACAGTGACCATCAGCTTCTTGGTCACCTCCCTGAACAAGATGTAGAAACATCTCAAGGAGGATCGGTGGAAACAGGATGGACGTTAGCTCAATTTTCAGTGTCATGGCAAAAGCTGTGACATGTTCGATTTACAAACCTCAAACCTTTTTGCTTTGTCGTTATGAGCAGAATTTTGTGGGAAAAAATGAATCCATTTTGGAATCAGGCTGTAACAAAAAGTGAAGCACTGTGCACACTTAATGTACTGCACTCTTTGCTTCCCTTTCCTCGATGGATGACTTCGTGACGGGTGTTTGTGGTTGTGTCCTGCAGGTCTATCTGGCAGACTATGGGCTGTCCTACAGATACTGTCCTGATGGGGAGCACAAGCAGTACAAGGAGAACCCCAAGAAGGGTCACAATGGAACCATCGAATACACCAGCCTGGACGCCCACAGAGGAGCTGGTAAGCTCTGAGCCCGCGTCGCCTCCTGGCCGGAAATGCTGCAACCTTGCTGTGACCTTTCTTTCGTGGTGTTCAGTAAAAATAAAATACAGATCAACGCAAGAATGGCTAAACCCCATTATCGTTAGTGTCTGTTATCTCCCGCGGTGGGACGTGGCGTCATTTTTTTATCGATGGCACGCGATCGAGTGGTACTGCCTTTGAGATCCCCTTTTGTAAAAAATACATTCAGAGAACAGCAAAAAAACTTCTTTCCTCATCATGTCTGACTGATCTTCCCATGTCAAATCTTACTGTCATTTTGCTGCCGCCAATCAATAGTGAGCAGGCTCTCATTCACTGCCTCCATCATTGGTCCTCCCTCCCCTCTGCAGTGGTAGAAAACACACCCCAACCCGGCTGGTTTAAAGAAGCTGCTGTGTTGGAACACCGTTCCTCTTCTCCATATCCTTTAAAACATATGGGACAAAATCCTTCTTTGGTGCAGATAGATATTCTAAAGTTATATAAGATATATATATATATATATATATATATATATATATATATATAGCAATAAGGAAACTTCTTTTAATGGCCTTTGTTCTTTTTGAATTGGTCCTGAGCCTGGAGGGTGTTTCAATCCGTCACGTGTCATTTATCCAAAGTGACTTACAATAAGTACATTTCAACCATAAGGACACAAACTCCAAAGAAACAAGAAAGTGCAATTTCATCAAATAAGCCCATTTATAACTTGTAGATAAGAGCCATTATAAGTACGCTTAGGTGCTGTGAGACGTGCACACAGAATGACCGGTGCTCCCCGCTGCCAGTATTTAGCTCCAGTATCTACATTAACCCGAGCAAAAGCTCTGTCAAAACATGTAACCCCCCTCCCACC